GCCACGATTCAGGGTCTCCAGAGCGTCCGAAATGAAAAATAAAAACGGGGTTATAATCAGAATTGATGTCATTTTCGGGTGACGGAACAGATTTTTTTTTTAATTTTTTTAAACAAAATGGCGGCCATTCAAAAAAAATTTCGATTTCGGGCTTTTTTTTTGTAGTTTAGTGTAAAAAAAAAATAGAAAAAAAAATTAAAAAAAAATCTGTTCCGTCACCCGAGAATGGTGACAATTCTGCGTCGACTTAACTTTGTTTCATGAAAATCGGTTCAGTTGAACTGGAGATATCATGGCCGCCAGTTCGAAAAACGTGGTTTCGAGATAAACGCGTTTGAAGTTTGAAAAAAGCTCATTTTGCGAAGAACTTGCTTCACAAAAAAGGATGTATCTTCTAAAGTATTTCGAATTTCTAAAAATCCTTTTGGGGACATATACACACCATCCCAAGCTATAAATAAATGCAAAAAAAAAAAAAATCGAAAAAAAAAGTTGCCCAATGAGAAGACCCCCTTAAAGAATATACTGTAAAAGTTTTATAATCGAATTCCATATCTAAGTGCCTCAAATCAAGGATGCACGCAAAGTACATAAGTGTAAACATGGACGCATTAAAAACTTTAAGCGGCTCTTTCTCCTCTTAAAATGTTTGTGTTTTTACCTATGTTACGGACACGATTCACAAAAACTATGCAACATATCGGAGTGAATCAAAAACTTTTATCATTAGCATGAAATTATTTCCTATTTAAGGGGGGACATCTGAGTAACTGGCAAAAAAAAAAGCCCATTTTCTAGAATTTTTTTTGGCCAAATGAAAAAGCCAATCGAAAAATTTTAAAAAAGGTTTGATAATGTTAAATGTGAACTACAAAATAATTTTTTTTTTTAATAAATCGAAAACAAAATGGCGGCTGTGCAGCATGTCTTCGTAGGCCCTATTTTTTTGAAAGGGGTCCATGGCCGAAAACCTAACGTCCTTAATTTTTGATCTAGAACAAAAAATCAAATTTTGTTAGTTTCTGTATCTCAACCGCTATCGACACACGTAGGATTTTTTCGATATTTTGATTTTTAGCAAAATGGTGAGTGATTAAAATTTTTTTTTCAATTTTCATAAAAAAAAACGTCACAAAATTGTTGATAAAAAAAAGTAAGCAAAAAAAAAAAAATCCTACGTGTGTCGATAGTCATAGGTATTTTGGATATACAGCTGTGTTCACGGAAATAGCAGTGCCCAACGACCTGCACGTTTAAGATCGGAAAATCCTGTTACAAACACTATTTTCATAAATTTTTTTTTCTTAAAGGCTTAGTGTATTTAATTGTTAACAAGACCACAATCATTTAATTTAGGTAACATAAACCTTTTAGAAGATATAGCTAATATGAACAAAAAAGGTCTATATTATGCCGTTCATTGAAATAGCAGTGAAAAACTAAAATTCTTCATAAATTTAAAAATATCGTATAAGAAACCTATTTCTTCTTAAATTCTAATTTACTATGATCTAATATTTTGTTAAATAGCCTTTAGAAGCTATCATAGCTTCATACCTGGGTGGCATGGAGTCCACCAAGTCTTAGCAACGCTTGAGGGGATTATGGTCTCATTCCTCCTGCACAAATCGCCAAAGCTGTGGCTTAGAAGTCGGAAACTTCTTTAATACGTAGTCCTTGATGTCCCCCATAAGTTTTCGATCGGAATAATATCCGGGGACTGTGCAGGCCATGGCAGTGCATCCACTTTTTCATTAAGAACCCACTCCTTGGCCACCTTGCTGGTATGATTAGGGTCACTGTCCTGCTGAAATGTCCAAATTAATGGCATATTTTCATCAGGATACGGCTGCAAGACAGTTTTTAATATTTCGACATAAACATAATGGTCTTTGATCCCACCGATCATATATACGGGACCTACAACGTTGTATGAAAAGTATACCCATACCATGATTTTTAGGCCACCGTGTTTTACTGTCTTCAGCGTATGGTTTGGGTGGGGGGTACTATCTATTTGGAGGTCTTGTCTTGTCCTATTCCACCAAATAAAACCAGTTTGGAGTCATTTGTCCAAAGGATATTACGCCATTTGAATACTGGCAGTTCAAGTGGCTATTGGCGAACTCGGATCTTGCCTTGATATGCCTTTAACCAAGCAGTGACATTTTCCATGGACTTCGCGAATCTAAAATTTATTCAATAAGTCCCCGGCGAATGGTCCCATGACTGATTCCCATGCCAATTCCCGCTCATATATCCCTAGAGGATGCAAAAGGACGAGCTTTGCTGAAGCGAAGTACGCGTCGAGCCTGTATAATTGTGGTTTTGCGAATCGTACCTCGGTTTTTTTGGGTTCGGTTCATATTTTATGAACTATTTTAAAAGAACAATTTGAAAGATTTAGAGACTCTTTACATGTTTTGCCCTTCTTTCTAGGCTAAATTATCTGATATCTTTCTCTCATGGAGCAGTGAGGTCCTGCGCCCACTAAAATAATTTTTTTTTGCGTTGTAAAGGTGTATTATAGTATAAACTATAATAACGACCTTAATTAAAGTCATTTTTTACAAAATTAAAAGAAATTTCGGCACTTTTTGCGAAAGAAAATTAAAAACAGCTATTTCAGTGATCGGCCAAAACGAGCTGCATATGTGAAAAATATCAATAAAACATAAAAATAGAGCAAATCTAACGGAATTTTTTCTTGATTCTTATCTTTATGTTCCATTTTACAAAAACAATGTGCAATAGATCAGCTTGCAAAAAGGAATATGTACAAAAAAACGTTTTGAAGTTGTTCCTCTGTCGCACTGCTATTTCAGTGAACACAGCTGTACTGCCAAAATTTCAGATCAATCGGTTAAGATTGTTCGAGTTATGTTTTCGGCCAACTCAAAAAAAGTGGTTTTGAGAAAAACGCGTTTAAAGTTTTAAAATCGTATATATTTACATGAGAGGCATCGCCGCAGAATGGAAATTTTCGACACTTAGACAGATTTGCCGGACTCTATCTTTTGACATGTTATTTTTAAGACCCTAAAGTATTTTTTAAGCAAAAAAAAATTTTTTTCGATTTTTAAAAAAAGTTACTCAGATGTGCCCCCTTAAACCTAAATGAGTAGTTGTAACAATAATAATAACAATAATAATGAAAATAATAATAACAATAATAATAATAATGGGGTAATAAAATGAGTATTGTTATTTTTTAAAAGGGTGGGAAGTGAAACACAATTTCCTGAAATTTGAACTTTTTTTCAAAACTGAATTCAATTTTTTTGTCATAATTTCTTTTAGATTCCTAAGGGTAATATAGAAGACAAACGTATAATAAACACAAATGATTTCTGTTTGCGGATTTTCGACAGGAATTACGAGCTGAATCGTATTCACAGCAGGGAAACTCACAGCTCGAGGAGCTGCGGCTTATATTTTGATTTTGGCCCGTCATTATACCCTTGCAGGGTATTATAATTTCAGTCAAAAGTTTGCAACGCAGTGAATGAGACGTTTCCGACCCTATAAAGTATATATATTCTTGATCAGCATCAGCAACCGAGTCGATCTAGCCATGTCTGTATGTCCGTCTGTCTGTCCGTCTGTCTGTTTCTACGCAAACTAGTCCTTCAGTTTTAAAGCTATCTGAATGAAACTTTGCATATAGGGTTCTAAAATCTGCCATAGGAACGATCGGGAAATAAAATTATAGATTCGTTGTTTTTCAACGCATTTTTATTTACTCTGAGATATAAGCTTTTTTTATTATTCTAGAATTTTGGTATAAATTTTATTAAAATCGGGCAACTATATCTTATAGCTACCATAGAAGCGATCGGTAAATGTACAAAATATAAAAAGCTGGGAATGTAAAACTGTAACTGTCAAACTGTAAACATAATAAGTATAGGTAAAATGTAATGAAACTCTGTTTTGTGAGTGTTTTCAGCATTTAAATCTATAATATAAACATTAAAACCAATGTGCAAGGGTATACAAACTTCGGCGTGCCGAAGTTAGCTTCCTTTCTTGTTTTGAATAATATTGTTTATAACACATTTTTTTAAATATCTTGGATTCTCCTTTTAACTATCTACTATCTTTAAAACTCCACGATGAATGCTTGACTGTTTCATAAAAAAAGGGGTGGGTGGTTTTGGTAAGGTTTATTCGGTGCAAAACTGCCAACTTAAAAAAAATGTGGCGAAACGGTTAAAGTTTATTTAATGAATTAAAACTCAATAATAACACAACATTTGAACAATTTCTTTTTAATTTTTGGATAAAAATATTTACAGTTTACGAGTAATATGGAATCTCCTGAGACCCCTAAAAAAAAGTTTGTTTTCGGTATACATCCTAACTGTGTCCACAAAAACATTCGGTATCAAAAAACCATAATTCATTAGTTAAAGGACAAGTGGTCCTAGTTACTTACGTGGCGTTTTTATTTTAAAAAAATGTCCGGATTTTTTATCAAAATTGGAAGTCAAAACTCCGATTTTTAACTAAAAAATTAAGTTATTAAAAATAATAATAATATAATAAAATTTAAAATTAAAAAAAAAAAATAAAAGGCGTGAGTACCTGTAGAATTAGTTAAAGAAGTTATGTTCCAAATTTTGAGTTATCGTGTACACAGATTTTCAAGGCATTTTTGATTCTTATACATTGAACTTTATACGTTCAACTTTGCATAACTTCGGTTGGGCGAGGGTCGGTAAGCTCGAAGGGCCGCGCGGAGGTCCGAAATAGGAGAGAGGAAGATCGGGAATATGCCAGTGTCCGATCGGAAACTCGGATGCGCAAGAGTGCTCGAGCTTTTGGACGCTCGGTAAGCAGAGGGGGGAAAATGGACCTCCTGACCTGAACACATTTTAATAAAAACATATGCATATATTTTAACTATAATATATATTTTTAAAATGTTTGACTTTAAGCTGACTTTAGATTAGATCGATTTTTTGTAATGTAGTAAAAAAATTCTTTAAATGTTACAGGATTGTCATGGCGCGCAGAATTTGACGAACAGGGTCCCACTATTAGATGATACACAAAACTATTATGTCCTTGATGGCTTTCAAAATGCTACACATACAAATGTAAAGTTTAAACGTAAAATAGAAACTTGTGACCCATATGATATTCCATTTTCGGTATGTTTTATTATATAAATATTCTTAATATAAATAAATACATTTATCTATTTTATAGACTGATACCTTAAAAATCCTTTGGTCCTTTGGGGATATGGATCCCAATTATGAAAGCTTAAAAGGGCATGGAAAAAATCGAGGCGTCAAATCACTGCATTTACTTTCTCCAAAGTTTACCCAAAATAGTCGAGATCCATATACAAGAAAAATTAAGAACTCTGAGATAAGCATATGGGATATAACTGTTAATAATATAACCGTCGAACCAACAATGGACACTTTATATTGGTGTAAAATAGTGCGACTTCCCGAGTTTTCTAATAAACAACATATTATTGGTTATGAGGCACTGTTATCTCATTTCGGGTAACGAAAACTTTTATTTAAATAATTTCGTTAAGATAACTAGGTTCCATTTATCCACAGTCACCTAAATTCGAATATTGTCCATCAAATGACCCTTTTTGAATGCCAGACAAAATCCTATCCTGGATCTGATCCATTATCGTGGGACTTGTGGGTTAGAAGTTCTGGCACAGTATGCAACAGTAATCTGCTGACCCCAAGAGATTGGGATTCTTGTTCAACACCAGTTGCAGTTTGGTCGCCGGGGTCTCAGGGACAGTTTTTACCATCTCATGCCGGTATTCCTATTGGGGGTGTGTCAGGAGTAAAATATTATATGCTTGAAATTCACTATGATAACTCGAATAAAAAAAAGAGTAAGTATAATAGACAAACTACAAAAATAATAATAAAAAACAGTGCGGTTTTCTAGTTGTGGATCATTCAGGATTTCGAATACACTACACACACAAATTGCGTACCTATGACGCGGGCATCATAGTAAGTGGAGTTTCTATATCGGATACCCAGTTAATTCCACCTGGCCAAAACATGTATCGAAATGTCGGGATTTGTGGTCCTTCTTGTTCAAGTGTGGTAAGTAAACTCACAAAATGAACAAAATTTCTTAATTTTATCATGCAAATTTAATATTCTTAGATGTTTCCGGAAAAAGGAATTAAAATTATTTCTGGATCGTTTCACTCACATCAAGCCGGACGAAAAATGAGTCTACGACATATTCGGTCTGGCAAAGAATTAAAACGGATCATTGAAGATTATAATTATGATTACAGTCATCAACATGTTCATCAGCTTGCTAATGAAACAGTCGTATTGCCGGGAGATTATCTTATAACAGACTGTGCTTATGAAACCAAACAAAGAAAACTACCCACATTTGGGGGCTATTCAACAAAGCAAGAAATGTGCCTAACCTTTATTACATATTATCCTAAAATTGAGTTGTCTGGATGTTACAGCATGACGCCCGTACGCGAGTTTTTTGAGATGTTTGGCGTTTACCAATTTTATGCAATGAATATGACAGATGTGGAAAACTTATTTCTTTATAATGGCAACGATTATATAAAAAATTATATTTCCACAGAGACGAAAAAAAAAAATGGCAAGCTGTCAAAAGACGAGGATATTTTTTACGATGAATCTTTATTAAGTAAGTATGCCGTAAAATAACAATATTAACACCACTGCATCTTATTATATCCTTGCAGGGTATCATATTTCAGTCAGAAGTTTGTAACGCAGTGAAGAAGACCTTTCCGACCCTATAAAGTATATATATTCTTGATCAGCATCAACAGCCGAGTCGATCTAGCCATGTCCGTCTGTCCATCTGTCCGTCTGTCTGTTTCTACGCAAACGAGTCCCTCAGTTTTAAAGGTATCTGAATGAAATTTTGCATAAAGTCTTCTGAATACTCTTACTGCTATATATATCGGAACGGTCCGGATCGGACGACTATATCATATAGCTGCCATACAAGTATTCGACAAATTTTTTGAAAAAAAAAATTGGAACTTGGCTGTTTTTCAACATATTTTAATAATTTGTAAGATATGGTCATTTATTTATTATTTCAGAATTTCGGTTTTAATTTTATGATAATCGAACGACTATATCTTATAGCTGCCATAGAAGCGATCGGTAGATGTAGAGAAAATGTAAAGCTGGGAATGTAAAACTGTAACTGTCAAACTGTAAACATAATAAGTATAGGTAAAATGTTATGAAACTCTGTTTTGTGTGTGTTTTCAGCATTTAAATTTATAATATAACAAGAAAGGAAGCTAACTTCGGCACGCCGAAGATTGGTTTTGATATTTATATTATAAATTATAATGCCGAAAACAGACACTAAACAGAGTTTCATAACATTTTACCTATACTTATTATGTTTACAGTTTGACAGTTACAGTTATACATTCCCAACTTTACATTTTCTCTACATCTGCCGATCGCTTCTATGGCAGCTATATGATATAGTCATCCGATTTTCATAAAATGTATACCAAAATTCTGAAATAATACCAGAAGCTCATGTACCAAAATAGATTAAAATACGTTGAAAAACAACGAAGTTATATTTTTTTTCGATTAACTTCCCGATCGTTCCTATGGCAGCTATAAGATATAGTGGTCCGATTTTCATAAAATTTTTAACAAAATTCTGGAATAATATAAAATGGCTATATATCAAAAATGATGGAAATAAATATCAAATCCAAATTATTATAGGTTATGTATAAATATACAACTTTTATATATCTTTTATTTTTTTCTAATAATTTAACCAGAACGGCTCAATTCTAATGATCCAATTGCAAACTGCAAGGGTATACAAACTTCGTGCCGAAGTTAGCTTCCATTCTTGTTTTTTATTAATTTAATTTTTAAGAGACTAGCAAAAATTTGACAATTTTAAAGTCTAAGCCGACCCCATTTAGACAAGTTGTTTTTTTATATTTTTTTTTTAGTTGTAGCAGATGTAGTAGGCAAGAAACATTAATAATACATATGTCGCAGAAACAGTCATGTCGTTCAACTGTAATCAAGGCAGCAAGTTCTGCTCGCCTGCGCAGTCTCTAATTGAATGTGGCCTCACGCCACTTTTCCTTTGGCTCTTTCACCTTTTCTCACTTTTCACGCAGACGACAATCCTAGAAAATATCTAGCTGTCTCTCTCTCTATCTTTCCTATTGTTGCGTCAAACGAACAGACTTAACTCAGTAACAGACTGTCTTCTGACCTTGTCCTGTTACCGGCTCAACTATCATTGCGCCTGCAGGGCTACCAATACCTGAGCATGCCGAATAATTATGTTGCCAAGGAAGCAAGCATTCCAAATTTGCACACAGGGAGAAATGGTAAAAGGCCCAAAGGAAAAGTGGCGTGATTCGACATTCAATTGGAGACTGCGCAGGCGAACAGAACTCGCTGGCTTGGCGGCGACTGAGCGAAGTGACTTTTTTTTAGGCTTTGCTTTTATTTATTGAATCTTCCCATTTATGAGACTAACAATAAGTGTATCAAATCTTACAATACTACCTAACTAGCAGTCATGAGACTGGTACAGAGTAAATGGCCCTGACTAATTATGGCTGGGTTGGATGGTCGTTACGTAGTAGGCGGCTTCTTCTGGAAACTCGTATCAAGTCCCTTGCTAAAGGATTTGGATGGGTGAAGAGTTTTTCCTTGTAGGACGCTTTTTGTTTTTCTATTTCGTTCTTAACTGCAGGAATGCCGAGATCCCTATGGATGTGTTCGTTGCGAATATACCATGGTGCCCCAGTAATAGTTCTCAGGATTTTTGATTGGGCGCGCTGTATGATGTCTAGATTGGTGCTGCACACGTGCCCCCAGAGCTGGAAGCCATACGTCCATATTGGCTTTAGTGTGGAGTTGTAGAGCAGGACGTTGTAGTCCAGACACTGGGGCGATCGGGAGTTTATGAGCCAGTGGAGGCTGCTCGCTTTTAGTTTTAGATGAATTTTCTTGCATTCAATGTTGTTCGGCTGGGGGGAAACTTGTTGTCCGTTCCGTAAGATGAGCACAAAATTCTTATTAGAAAACACTCCCGCGCCGCAGTCACCGAAAACACCGTAGAAATAGCGAAAAGTCACCACCAAACGAAGGGAAATAGTAGTAGGCCGGGAGGGCGTGGTTAATTTCAGAATATAAAATCGTGGACTTGGTCCGCTTTATTGGAGTTCAGTATAGGAATTAAAATGTACAAGTTGGAGTGAGAGATCAGAACCGCCGATCGCCCAGAGTCGAAAGCCTCCGCTAGAAGAGCGAGAGAGCAAGCTGCGCAAGAGCGCAAGCTGAGAGCGAGAGCGCGCTGAGGAGCTTTGCAGAAGCGGGAGCGCTTCGGAGTCGGGCGGGGGGGAAACGAAAGCTCCTGACCTGAACATTCCGCCCCCCTTGCAATCACTATGGGTTGCAATAAAGTCTGCTCCTCATTACGGCGTGCGACAGGCCCCGGACAGGACCTATCCAAATACGGTGCTTTGGGCCACCTGCAATCCATCCTGCACTTTCAGGAACCCAGGCTGCATAACTTTGGGGTACACATCCGCACCCAGGATGACGGAGATCGTAGCCGGAAGGTAGAATCGTTCATCAGCCAAGGTGATGTCCTTGAAATAGGCCCGCACAGTCTCATCTAACTGTCGGATCGGAGTGCGGACGCGCACGTGAGGCTCCACTTTGAAAACGAGGTCGAGCCGGACATGGGCGTTCGTTTTCGAGCCGACGGTGGCTGAGCAGATCTGTTCAGCACCCACCGCTGTCGTTGAAAGTCGCAAAGAAGTCGCCAGCGACGCGTCAATGCAGCTCATAGGCGTGCATGGGTCGATAAGCGCCGCTGTGTCGAACACTCGCATCCCGGTGTCAATCCGCACCAGCGCGGTCGGGAGGAGGTTCACGCGGTATCGCTGAAGCAACGTGGCCAGTGAAGGCCCTGTCGGAACTCCCTGCGGGGCGAATGCCGCGGTTCGTGGAGAGGCCGACGAATGCCGTGGAGAGGCCGAAGAATGCCGAGGAGAGGCCGACGAAAGCTGAAGAGAGGCCGCAGAGCGCCGAGGAGAGGCCGAAGAGCGCCGAGGAGAGGCCGAAGAGCGCCGAGGAGAGGTCGAAGCGTGGTGAAGAGAGGTCGAAGCGTGGTGAAGAGAGGTCGAAGCGTGGTGAGCAGAGGTCGAAGCGCGACGAGAGGGCGGCGTCAACTGACGCGAACGACGTAAATACAGCGGCTGCTCCTGCATATGCAGCAGTGTGTGGTGCTCTCCGTTGCAGATCTTGCACCTATCGCCACGGCGGCACGCTCCATCCGAATGCTCGTGAGCCAAGCAGTTGGCGCAATAGCGATTCGCGAGGATCGCGCGGAGCCTCTTTTCGATGCTCAGCCGCAAGAATCTGCGGCACTTCCGTAGAGGGTGGACTCCGTGGCAGACTCGGCAACGGTAGGAATTTATACCTCGTGTACGTCTGCTCTCCATTTCGACGGCGCTACGTAGACGTGGGAACATTGTTTATAATCTGGAGTAGGATACAAAAAAAAAAGAATTAGTATGGAGTCGAAAACTAGAACTAGCGACAGAAGCAAACTACGGAGTGAGGATACGGCTAGTTATTGAGATTTTTCGGAGGTCGCCCCCGGAAGCAATACGACCTTTGCGACAGGGCGCTTAACGATTCCCCGAGCAGTACGAATATTCACTACTCGGACATGACCATCGGGTCCGGGAAACACGGAGTCAATCCTGCCGAGCCGCCACTCATTGGAGGGCAGATTATCGTCCTTGATTATAACCATCTCGCCCACCTCGAGATTTCTTGTGGGGACTTGCCACTTTGTTCGCTTGTGGAGCTCCTTAAGGTACTCTTCCTTCCATCTCAGGCGGAATTGCTGATGAAGGGCCTTAAGGTGCTGCCACCGGTTGATAATAGAAGTGGACGCACCCTTAATTTCGGGTTCGACGGTGGCGAGAAGGGGTCCACCTACGAGAAAATGACCTGGCGTGAGTGCTAACAAGTCTGTGGGGTCTTCGGACATCGGGGCGAGTGGACGCGAATTTAGACAGGCCTCAATCTTGGCCAGCAATGTGGAAAGTTCTTCGAACGTATACTTTCGAGTGGCTGTGGATTTATAAAACAGCGTCTTGAAGCTTTTAACTCCAGCTTCCCATAATCCTCCCATGTGCGGGGCTCCTGGTGGTATGAATTGCCACAGGAGTTCCTGGTGACTATAAGCATTCGTCACGGACTCCTTGACAGCTTGCAGAAATTCACGCGACAGCACTGCGGCTGCACCAACAAAGGTCTTCCCATTGTCCGACTGAACTTGTCGAGGGCACCCTCTTCGCGAGACGAATCGGGCGAAAGCTGCGAGAAATTTCTCTGTTGTGAGGTCAGAAGTAGGCTCTAAATGGATGGCCTTCGTGGAGAAACATACAAACACCAACACATAGCCCTTGGTAATCAGGCAGGCTCTCCCGGTGTAGTTCTTTATATCAAACGGTCCGGCATAATCCATGCCCGTGTACGTAAAAGGCCGCGAAAAGGACGTTCTTTCTTTTGGTAACTCGCCCATGAGTTGGGTCTGCAACTTCTTTTTGTGGATCACACATATTTTGCAGGAGAAAATTACAGACTTGA